AACATGGGAATTTTTTTAAAAACATCAGGGTCTTACCTGGCATCACAAACTGTGAAAAGCTACTCTAGGCAGACCTATTGTTACTAAAAAGATTGAAAGGGTGTAATTAGCTACATTACAAAAATTTCACATTAAGGATATTCCGGCTTTCCTCTTCTTCTTGATGAAGCAAGTATCCAGCACTCTCTGGTTTTAAACTAACAGTCAACAGTGGAAATTTTTTTGAGAAATTAGAGAGAGTAAACGTTGTAATTGATTCTATTTTCTTTATTATTCTTGTGTGAATACAACAAAACAGAGCTTGGTTGCGGAAAAACGATTGACATATAAATTACTAAAGAAGTGATAGTCATACGAAAATCAGATTACGAAAGAATACAAAACTTTTAAACTATTTGTACTGCTTTTTACAAGCTAAGTCGAGCTAAATTAATTTGTTTACTAAAAAAAGTAAAAAATTTTTAAGCGATCAGAAATGTTTAGTAATATAAAGTCAAGATTAGTTGAGAACTCAGTGCAACAGTCTGAAAAACGATAAAAATAATTGTGTAGTAAAAAGTACGCATTCTCCGTATTTGACGCTCAAAAATCACGATTTTTGAGTGTTCTCGACACTGCCGAGTCAAAACTATCTGGCCAGAACCGAACGTGTACTGAATTGATTTACGTAAGTGAAAAATCTTCACATTAACACTACCAACGATAAATGTTAGAAATGTAATGTTGCTTTTTGCTAAAAACCAACGAAAAAGAAGTTTGACAGTGTGACCCGTGCTTTTGCTACACCTTTAGATGTTCACTTTAACACAACCTTTACTTCAATTTTAATGATAAAATAAAGTTTTTGGAAGCATGACTGATGAGCGTGTACCATGCGTACAGACAGTCTGCACCAGCACCATATAAACCTGTTAAAGAAAAATACACGTACTTTTTGGTAACTGTTAGTAGTTTTTACAAAGTACAATTAAGTACAATTGATTGCTGCTAAAAATATATCGGCAGCATTGGCGAACAAAAAATTCAATCTTTCTTGTGGAAATAATACGAAAGTTAAAACTTTCACTTGTCGACGTGTCAAATAAACGCTGTATTTTGACCACATTGAACTGTTGACGCTTAGAACGCCTGCAGAGGTTGCTGAAAATGTGAAAAAAAATCCTGGAGACGATAGTTGCAACTTGTGGGTAGTCATTATATCTTCCTTCTGATTGCTCTCATTTCCGTCATCAGTGCCATGAAGAAGTGGGAAATTGAGTGTATCTATAGGACTATACTGATGTACAACGCATAACGTCATCACTTTTGAGCCAGTTTTCTCATTCCGTTTTTATTTTTATAAAGAAAAACATCTTTTCATCTCCATTTCAATACCTTTTTCACCAATAACACAAAATTAAAACAGTGCTTTGTACAACATTAAAATGCTCGCGGTTGTTACACATTACAGCGCTAAAAAAACGTCATATAATTTAGAAAAAAAACATGAAAAAATTATTTATTACAAGTATTTAACACATTAAGAAACACGGTCAGTTACTAAACGATTTTTGCTGCTTTTTTTTCTCACTTTACAACATTGGTTAAAAGTATTTATGAGTCATAATATGCTTCAGAGTACTTATCTAAAAGATACTCAAGAGGTAACAGAAAAAATGTTCAAAAGACCTAAAGTCATTAAAAATTTTTATTTAAACAAAAAAAAAACAAAATAAACTGTGAGTAACTACAATCAGCAACAGTCTTTAGCTAATTTTTCCTACTATATTTCACAAAAAATTTTTTCTCATTTCTCATCATTTTTCTGGCTGTTGTTCTTAAAGTTTTTTGATTTTGTTGCCAACAAAGCTGCCAAAACTGCAGTTTGACTGATAAGATTGTCAGTTAAGGCTTTATTAAAAAAATAAGAGCTTTTTGAGCTTAAACTTAAATTTTTTTTTCGTTTTTTTTCTCGTTTTTCCACATTCTTTTTCCCAAAATTTTCACAAACTTTAACAAGTTACACTTAATAGTGAATTCGCGAAAAAAGTGTTGGTCATTACTGGTCATTATATGCCAAGTTTTCCCAAAACCTTTTCGCTAGAAACTGTATACAGAAGGCTTTGCTTCAGTGCCAGTAGAAGCGGAAGTGCTTAAAAATTCATGAAAAAAAAGTAGTGATTTCATATCAAAACTTGTTGTTCACTGAAGCTAACATCAAAGTTTGTTACTGATCTAATACCTTCTAGAAATATTTTGATTGTACTAATATTGACAAAAACCCAATAAACCACACAGTTCTTTCACGGTAATATATTTCTTTCGATTAAACTATACGTGTTATAATAAAGACAGAACTCAGGAGTAAATTTTAACTACTTCCAATTTTTCATTACCTTCAACCAATAAATGAATACAGTTTCTACTAAGAAAGCAGTACAATACGGTTTGATCAACGATGTGTTGAAAAACAACATAAGAATGCCAATTGCTTACTTTGTAACTCTCTTTTCAACTTAGTAGAAACGTCCGACCACTCCATAACATCACCTATAAAATCCGGTTCCCAAAGCTGATCACAAGTTGTTGCTGTTAGCTTACCCTTTCTGACCTTACCTTAAAAAACCGTACTTAACAATCAATTTCTGAATTAAAAACAAAGAATTAAACAAAAAGCGAAAAACCATTTTAAATTTATTTGAACCGTGCTATTTAACTATATTAAAAAAAAACCATTTTATAACAGTTACCTGACAAGAGATAATCTTTTCCCTTGCGAAGCTCAATCCCACAAGAAGCTGAGTCTGCGAGAGTGTACACAGCAGTTGGCATTTCATTTTCATCAAATTCTTCAGGCAACTAAAACGAGTAAAATTTTAAACATAAAGTTGAACTAAAAATTGAAATTAAGCTACAGTTGCCAATTTGTGACCATACAAAACAATTTATTTGACCTTTCAGGCACTGTTTATATAATATAACATTTACGAGAGATAATACATGGAGAGAAATTAGAAAGCTTTATTATGATAAGATCCGAAACCATCGTTACTGACATAGGCAAAATACATTTCTTGCTTTAGATAGTTTCAAGCTCAAAAAGACCTTGAACACTTCAAGATGTGTGACTTGGTATACAGTTTGATTCTCAGAGGTCTCTGGCTCGGCCTGACCGTCAACTTTAGGGGCAAGATCATGAACACGCACGTGAGATACTAAAACGATTAAATCTTTAAAGAAACCCAATTTTCAAAGGAAAAATAGATTGAAAAAACCACTTAGAAACAAACGTTAAATAAAAGAGTGAAGATAAGCTACGAATAAAATTTGTAAATAACTGTTAATATAGAACATGCCAATTTATTGTTTGGAACTGGATTATCAGTAGTTATCAAATTTTAGATGCAAAAAAGAAGACTCTTTTAAAAGGAAAAAAAAACTGACCCCAGTGTGATTTACAGAACGCTACCTGGACAGTTGTCTGTTTACAGCTGCAAGCGTCTGTATTTGGTAACAAAATTGTAAGCAGCACAGCTGACAGAAACAAAGCAATATAACGGTACTTCATTGCTGCTTTATAATAAAGAAATTTTTATCACGACAATTTCTTGTCTTCTTTCTTGTCCCGAGTATTTTCAAACGGTTATCAAATTATGCTGTGCTTAGCGCTGAATATTTAGTCAGAGGAATCATTATTATCTGACGAATTAGACAATAAATCGTGAACTGAAGAAGGGATAGAAGTTGGGGAAAGCCGAAGAGTAGATTGGGAAGAAAAAGGTCATATTTAAAATTGAGAGAGGAAAAAAAAGAAGGACAGAGTTATGATTAAAAGTAGAAAACAAAGAGAACGGTAAAGAACAAAAAGTCTAAACGCTTGAAGAAAGCGACGACAGGTGCATTCGGACAAAAAAGAAAGCCAAGTAAGTTAAATGACAGTTTAACAGCGTTTTTATATTTTTTGGTGGTCTCTGTTTCAAACGCTTTTCATATTTTCTGTTTTTCACTTTGGAATTCTATTAGCTTACATAAAAATATAGCAAAATCGACATAAGCGTTTAAGCATGCAATTCCTGACATCATCAGCCGATGTTCTTGTAAAGAGAAAATGAGATAAAGATTGGTAGTCTTGTGCGGATTAACAGTAAAAAGTGATAACATTAAAGTATGCTGATGAAACTAATTGCAAAACAGTTAAGTGCTTTACCCGCTACATTAACTTATCTCTAACGCCATTTTGTTTTGACGAAATAATACCGATAAAGTGAGAGCAAAAAAGGAGTAAAGCTCTTTGGTACTTTTGAAGACTTTTGCTGTAAATTTATTTCTCATTTTATGTTACTTCGTCATTACTAACTTAGATTGAGGTAACAGTGTTTCAAGAATTGAAAAGCAAACAGGGATTTCTCATTTTCTTTATCATAATCGATAAAAAATTTTCTCTTTTTTACTTTCACAAACGCTTCTAATTAGGTGCTAATTTATGACCCAAAAAAACTTTAAATTTTTTTTTGTTCTATCAAAAATTTGATCATCAGATATACTTTGCTTTGACGAGTGATCAATAAAAATTAAAAAAATTTTTTTTTAGCTTAAAACCACCTGTAATCGTTATTGACTTTTACGGTTGATTTGAACAAAAGAGATTAATGCTGCACTTACAAAAACAGTTAAAGTAACTAAAGATCTGCATCTTTTTCAGCAAAAAAACCTTTTTTAATTTTGTCTTCAAAAGTTTACTTCACCAATATCTGTTAAAATTTTGAAAAGTTTTGAATAAAGAACCTCTTACTATGCTTTTGGCGTAAGTCGTATAAAGAAATTTTATAAATCTTAAGTATTTTTTCACTATTAATTATATACATGAATCAGCTAAGAACTTTTACAAGGTATCTAATGACAAGTGTGTCGTATTATCTTGGCATCATAGAAAAAATTGCAAATTGCGCTGCTAAGGTGAGCCAGCTTTTAAACAAACTCAAAAATAAGTTAAGAAAATATCAGTATCGACTTTGTAATAAGTAGTCAATAAATTTTTGTTAACATCTATTCTAACTATTTTTTTAACTGGTTACTGAGACTTGTCTGTTTCACTTGATTAATAGATTAGTAAAATAACCGATAGATATCTTATCAATTTAACTATTTACATCTATATTTCTTTTAGTTTATATTAAAACTACTTGGCATTTTTTGGTACAAATTTCCTTTGGTATATCAGAAGAAGTCGGCATTTAGCTTGTTGAGAAAGTTGACCCTGATGAAGCTGTAGGCGGTTTTTGTCTCGAAGACAAAAAAGTACGTTTAGCTGAGTAC